GAGGTCAACAATTCAGGTGATGATTTTTTAATTTAATTAAAGTTCATTAATTACCTTTCATAACTGACAAAAAAAAAAAAAAACGAAAAAACCATCAATTATATATTATGATTGAAAAGGGAAGAGAAAGAGAAAGGGAGAGGGAGAGAAATAGACCAAGAGGAAAAGGAAGAAAATGAAGAGATGGAGAAAAAGAGAGAGGTAGAGAGAAAGCGGAAGAGAAGAAAAAGATACAGAGAATAGAGACATGAACAAAGAGAGAAAAAGCACAGGGAAATGGAAAGGAAAAAAGAAATACAAAGAGAGAGAGAGAGAGAGAGAGAGAGAAAAAGAGAAACAGGAAGAGAATGAAGTGATGGAGAGATGAACAGAGAGGGGTAGACAGAAAGAGGAAGAGATATAGAGAGGAATAGATAGAGTATATGCAAAAGGATAGAGAGAGGAATAGTGAAAGAGTATAGACAAAGGATTAAAGAGAGGTAGATATAAAGAGAGAGAGAGATAGAGAGAGAGATGCAGAATCAATTGTGATAATTATTTCACATTTTTTTTTTTTTTAAATTTAATTGCATTTGCAAATTTACACGAAACGCACTGTAAAAAAAAAAAAAAAAAAAACGTCATCAATCATTTTTTCCCACGTTAAAATGCATTAGACTAATTACGTAATTTTTCCCCCATATACCACCTTCACGTTTTCACCGCCATATTTTCTACCTTCTGCCACGTCAATCGAACCATTTTATTTTATTTATTCCAATCGAATCGAATTTAAATAATTAAAATATTACAACATATACGAAACGTGTCGTATTTAAGTAAAAAAAAAAAAAAAAAACAAAACTTATCATCATTATTATTATTTCCACGATAATTCCACGACATGAACAATTTCAAATTCATCTTCAAAACGGAAATGAAGAAAAAGAAGAGGAAGAGGTAGAAACGAAAAAAAAAAAAAAAAAAATTTTTTTAAACACAAAATAAAAACTCGTTTGATATCGAATCGAATTTAAAATCGATCTCTCTCTCTCTCTCTCTCTCTTTTCTTATCATTTTTCAAATTTTATTTTCCCGCGGAAAAAAAAATTCGTTTCCCCCCCCCCTAATAAATAATCGTTTACGTTTCGCACAAGAGAGAAAAAAAAAAATTTAAATAACCGTGAAAAGTTATCGATAATTTAAAAAATAATAATAATTTGCGACAATAATAATGATAATAATAATAATAATAATAATAATAATAATTACGTAAAAAATTTAATTAAAATTTCACGTTCCCCCCACCCTCCCATACCCGAATCCCAAATATAAATAATTTAAATAAAAAAAAAATAAAAAAAACGACAAATTATTACATGTTATTATTATTATTTATAATAAACTGACGTTTACGTAACCTCGTTCGTCGTGTGACATATTAATAATAATAATAATAATAATAATAATAATAATAATAATAATAATAATAATAATAATAATAATAATAATAATAATAATAATAATAAAATTTATTCATAAATAAATTAAAATTCAATACGGGTGGTAAAAACCTTTTATACGATTGAAATGATTTTTTTTTTCTTTTTTCGAATTAATTAATTTACATATGTATATATATATATATATATATATTTATTTATTACAATATTTACTTTTTACTCAATAATAATAATAATAATAAAACCGCCTTTACATGTACGCACGTACTACGCACGCACGCACGCACGTACGTACATGGGCAAATAAAAATTACAATTGATTCGAATTGTAATTCATATCATCATTTTATAATAATTGTTTGATTTGATTATTTAAATCAAACAAAAAACAAATTATTACTTTTTGTTTTGTTTATTTTGTTATCATTATTATCATTATTCTCATTATTATTCTCATCATCATCATTATTATTATTATTATTATTATCAGCAAAAAAAAAAAAGGAGGGCAAAAAATTAAAAAATTAGGTGAAACATTTTGGTTAAACATTTTAGTTTTCAAATTGATAGAAAGAAAAAACAAAATAATAATAATTTAAATGACAATTATTATTATTATTATTATTATTATTTTAAATTCTATTTTTGTTTTTAAAATAATAATATTAATAATGGTGAAATAAAAGAAATTTTTTCAATTGAAAGTAAAATAAAAAAAATTATTTGGGATTTTGTTTTTTTTTTTTTTTTTTTTTTTTTATTTAAGCTTTGGTAAAATGCCAAAGTTAATTATGTGTTTAAAAAAAATTGAATACTCTTTTAAATAATATTTTGTTTTGTAGTTTAGAAAAGTTGGCACAACTGAACTAGTGTGTGTGTGTGTGAAAATTCTAAGATATTATATTAAAAATGAAATTTCTTTTTATCCTTATCGAGTATCCTGATACTCATCCTTTCTACAATTCCTACCACTACTACTCTTATTCTTAATGAATTTTTCATAATTATGTTATAATCACCTGATAGTTTTTAATAAAAGGGTCATCTTATAATAATTAATATATATGATTCAATCCTTGTCGAATAACAATTCGAATCAAAAAGTATGAGATTGTTTTAACCATATTCGAATAATTTTTTTTGTTATTCGAAGAAGTTGTCTTGTTTGTACAAAACAAAATGAAAATTATTCGATTAATATTTTTCATACTTCAATTATTGTTTGTTGTACATAATGACCAAACAAACAGATAAATCGAAATGAAAACTTTATGTTTTAAAACAGAATACCATCAATCTCGAGTGAAAAGAAAGAAAAAATATGTTTTAACGATTATTACCATAAATAAAACACACCTGTTGTGTAAACGAATATTTGTTTTAAAATTAAATAACAAACAATATACAGAAAAAAAAAAAAAATAGGTGTAAGGAAAAATGATTCTGTTGTTGTTGTTGTAAAAAGAAAAGAATAATAATAATAATAAGGAAAATTTGTGACACATTATTATAATAACAAAAATATATCATTCGAAAAGAAATTAATTACTAAAACAAAAAAAAAAAAAAAAAAAAAGAACGAATGGAATGAAAAAAAAAGAAAAAAGTTTAATAAGGTTGGTGGAAATATTGATTTCACTATGGATTCTCTCATTTTGATATCAAAAGAGAGAGAGAGAGAGAGAAAAAATGGTAAAAATTATAAAATCAATTTGAATTTTAACGGTTTTTTTTTTTTTTGTATAAAAAATGGAGTTTTAATGATGATAATAGTGAGTGATGATTATAATAATTTATGTAAAATTAATTAATAGAAAGAAAAAAATGAAAAGAATGAGATGAAAGAAGATGGAGAGAAAGAAAAAAGGCGGTTAAACGTTTTTTAAAATCAAATAAAAACTAAAAAATATTTTCAATAAGAGTTAAGAATAAAAAGAAAAAGAAAAAAAAATAAAATAAAATAACATTTGACTAATTTAGAGATCTGGCAAAGAATTTGCAAAAAAAAAAAAAAAAATCTGTGGCAAACGGTGTTGTATGTGTGTGTTTGTTGGGGGGGGGGAACGAGGGGAAGTTGTGGGTAGGGAGGGGGGGATAGAAAGTGGGGAGGCTCAAATTCAACGAACCCAGGAGGAAAATCAAATTGAATTTTTTTTTTTTTTCTGAAAAAAAATATTCAAATTTTTTTTTTTTTTAAAAAAAAAAAAAGGTGTAAGATTTTTCTCATTCTTTCTTTTTCCATCCTCCATTATTCATTTTTTTATCATATGAAACCTCCTCCTTCTTATGCTCACCCTAATCCTTTTAACCCTCCACCTTTTTCTTAATCATAATGTTAATTATATCATAAATACTTACTTTCCCAGCTCCTCTTTTAATTCGTAATTATCACTGAAACGCGTACAAGCTGCCGGGGCAGCCATCGCGACAACCACTGCAATATTTACAGACACTAGTCACCGACGAGAGAAAATTCTCCCGAAAAAAAAAAAAAAAAAAAAAAAAACGAGAAAAACTTTCTACGCCTGTGCGATATTAAAACAAACCAAATTCAATCAATAATTTCTTTTTTTTTTTTTTTTTTATCGTATTTTACTTTCCCTTCGTAACCAAACAAAATAATCTTTTTTTTTTTTTTTTTTTTTTTTTTTAAAACCCAACGTTTTTTTTCATTTTTACTATTATTATTATTATTTTATTTAATTCGTATACCCTACTTTTAAAACACATATCGACTAATAAATGACGAACGACGTACGACACTCTTTTTTTTCTTTTCTATATTATAATACTAATAATAATAATTATTATTATTAATATTATAGTTTTCTTTTTTTTATTTTATTTCTAATTCTTTTCGAATCGATTGTGAACACAAACACTTTTTTTTTTATATAGTAAAGAGAAAAAAAAATGTTTTGTTTGTGATTTTAGTTAGAAATTTTAACACGGCGGTGAACCGGATTATGGCAGCACTGTTATTTATATCATATGTTCGATAACGACACTAGCGCCATCGCCATCTTTTGTTACTTAATCGATTATTTGAAAATTTTTTTTTTTTTTTTTTTTTTTTTTTTTATCCTCATGGGGAATCGAATCGCCTCGGATGAAAAATTAAACATTTAAATAAATAAATCATCATCCCCCCCCCCCCAAAAAAAATTATCATGTTCTATTACGAAAAACTAAATTTTTTAATTAATCAATAATAACCAGTAAATCCATTCGATAACTTTCACGTAACATATATATATTCACAAATAATAATAATAACAATAATATTTATAAAAATATTTTACAATACAAATCTTTTTTTTTTTTAAAATATATGTATACATATATAAAAACAAATTCGTAATAATAATAATAATAATAAACAAGCAAAAAAAAAAAATAATTGAAATTAATAATAATGATGACGTTTGTTTCATTTTTTGATTCTCGACGATGACGGCCATATTTATAATCTCATTCGTCATCGAAAAATCAAAAAAAAAAAAGATTTAAAAACAAAAAAACAAAAAACTCTTTCGCCGCTCTTTTATTTTAATTCAATCATTCCACCGTCACGGATTTGGCCAAATTTCTCGGACAATCCACGTTGCAGTCCTTGAGAACGGCTATGTGATAGGAAAGAAGTTGCATCGGTATAACCGTTAAAATACCCTGTAAACAAAAATAACAAATTTAGTGATTCATTTTCCACGTCGTTTGTCGTACAACAAACGGAAATAAAAAATCAACAACAACAAACTCGAATAATACCTGAAGACAATCGACGACGTGTGGGATTTCCAATGTTTTATAACCCATGCTCGCCGTTTCCGCATCGTCTTTTTCGCAGATCAATATCGGACGTCCGTCTCTCGCCGTGACTTGTTGCAATGCGTTCATGCACTTGACGTAAACGGGATCCCGCGTGACGATCATTATGACGGGCATGGCTTTGTCGACAAGTGCGAGAGGACCGTGTTTCAATTCACCCGCCATGATTCCCTCGCTGTGCATGTAAGTCAATTCTTTCACTTTCTGAAAAATAAAAAACAAAGTAAGTAATAATAATAATAATAATAATAATAATGGAGAAAGTTCATTTCGAATGGATTCAATTTTTTTTTTTTTTTTTTTTTTTTACCAAAGCTCCTTCTAAACACGTGGCAAAATTATATCCTCGACCCATTATGAGAAGTGATTTTTGCTGGTATAAATCTTTTGCGATGTGATAAACCTGAGAATCGAGAGATAAAACCTCGCGGATTTTTTCATCCAATGTCTTCAATCCGTTTATGATCTAAAAAGAGAAAGAGAGAGATAGAAAAGAAAATTGTTATCATTTTCCGAACCGTCGTCCGAATGAGAGAGAGAGAGAGAGAGAAAAGAAAAACGCCACTCACTTCTCTCCTCCTATTCTGCATTGATATCCTGTCTTCGCTCATGACGAGACCGAACATGACCAAAGATATGAACTGTGATGTGTATGCTTTGGTTGATGCGACACCGATTTCGGGGCCCGCGTTTATGTGAACCCCGCAATGGGATTCTCTACAAATGGAACTACCGACCGTGTTCGTTATTCCTATGATGAGAGCTCCACGGGATTTGCAAAAACGGAGAGCCATCAAAGTATCCGCGGTTTCACCTGAAACGACGACGACGATCGTCATTTTAATAAAAAATGAGAAACAAAAAGGGGGGGGTGGGGGGAGTCTTCGAGTGCTCACCAGATTGCGAGATGAAAAAACAAACGTCATCTCTGAAAACTGGAGTGTTTCTATCGAGGAAATCCGATGCGAGTTCCACCATGACCGGTAATTCCGTGAGCTCTTCCAAAAGTTGTCTCGTCGCTATGGCGCTGTGATACGAAGTCCCACAACCTATCATCATGAGCCTCCTGCACCTTTTTATTTCCGGAATGTAATCTTTTATTCCTCCCAACGTGACGGTGTTGGTGTCGAAATTAACTCTTCCTCTCATCGTGTTCACGACGGATTCGGATTGTTCGAAAATTTCCTTTTGCATGAAAGAACTGTAGTTTCCTGTAAACGAAACACGCAACCGTTACCACTTTTCAATTTCGCAACCTTAAATCCTCTTCCGCATCCATCATTGTTTTAACCTTTCATTATCTGTTGGATTTCCATTTTGAGAGTCGTGATTTCTCTCGCGTGAGAATCATCCAAAGATCTTTTCAAACGGTGAATGCTTAGAGATCCTTCCTTAACGGCAGCCACATCATCATCTTCTAAAAATATCACCCTATACGGTAAACAAACAAACAAACAAAGTTGTCAAGAATGGTAATCGTGTGTCAGGATGGTTGTTATTGTCGAATTAGAAAAGGTAGTCATTACCGGTTGGTGTGTTCGATGACGGCCGAAGCATCGGATGCGAAAAAATATTCAACTTCTTTGTCTTCGATCGGTTGAAATTCGGCGGTCGAATCCGATCTTGGTAATGTGAGAGGGACTCCCATGGTGTTCGAATTGGAATTTCTCGGACGATGATCTACAAATTTTAATTAATAAATTATTTTTATTATAATTAAACAAACATGATTCAAATCGCATAAATTTTTTATTGGTTTTTTTTTTTTTTTATATGGCGCCGCACAAAAAAAATTGATTTAGGCATGCACCGTCACCGAAGACAATAAGAAAGATTTTTTTAAGAAACGCACAGAACAGTAGTAGTAGTAATAGTAGTACCCGCAACCAAAAGAAAAACATTTTCATACGAAGCACATACCGCCACCACCACCGTCACTACCGCCGCAACCGACAGCGAACAAGATTTATTAATTCCCGTTGGATGATGACCAGCAACAGCCACAGGACTGTTCAGACCACCAGGCAAATTTTGTACGGAAAGCGATACGTCAACCAATAAAAGAAAAACATCATACCCATTTTCCCGTACACCGATTAATGAGTAGAAGAAATAGTAATAATAATAATAATAATAATAATAAATTTTTATTTTTTTTTAATACCTTCGGTAGATTGAGCGTCGGCATCTTTAGATTTTTCATCGTCAATGGAAAAAAAAATTAATTGAAAATTAGTCAATAAAAAAAAAACAAACAAACAATAAAATAATAATAATAATTATTTATAAGTAAAAATAAAAATTAAAAAAAAAAAAAAAAAAAACAGAACAAAAAACAAGACTAATAAAAAAAAAAAAAAAAACGCGATTTGTTTTAATAACACAATTTACGAAGAGGCAGGAAAATGACGAAGGAAGAGGAATCGATCGTCCAAAGACCTCCTCATCATCATCACTGGACATAATTAGAGATGGAGGAAGAAGAAGAGGAGGAGGAGAATGAGGAGGAGGAAGAGGAGGAAGAGGAGGGAAAGGAAACGAAGATTTCAGGTTTCCGGTAGGTTGTTCACTTGGTGTTTTTTTTTTTCTTCTGCCACTTTTATACCTTCCTCCCCTCGACGCATTTTTAAACCTTCATTCCTTCACTTTAATACCAACAATTTAACGTCCGCACGTCATACGTTTGTTGCCGGAAAATGGAAAACGACAAACAACAAACGCACCGTAACACACACTTCGATTCGGAGAAGACACAAAAAAAAAATTCTTTTTTTTTTTTTTTTTCCTATTTTACTTTACTTCGTGCAAATCATTATGAGGTGTAACAAACAAACAAACAAACAAACAGACAAACAAAAGAAGAAGAAAAAAAACCTACACCCGAAACCTACGCGTCATTTTTCAAACGGCGCTCACGATACTCGGACACCGAACGAATAACGAAATCGTGCGCGCACACACACACACACACACACACACGCAAACACAAAACAAACAAACGAAAAAAAAGAGAGAGAGAGAGAGAGAGAGAGAGAGAAAGAAAGAGAGAAAGAAACGTGCTCAAGTAAATAATAATAATAATGATGATGATGATGATGATGACTGGAAAAAATAAAAATAAAAAAAAACAAAAACAAAAGAAAAACATTTTCCATTGTCGTGCATGCACGAATTGCATTTTGATAATTTAATAATAATGATAATAATGATAATAATAATAATAATAATTGAAAAATTAAAAAATTAAAAAATCAAAAACTATTATTCGTGACACCGTTTTAAAAATAAAATCCCCGCGTCGGATTGAAATCTTCGACGGTCGCAACAAATTTGAAAAAATTTTTATTTTTTATTTTTACGTGTCCTCAAGAAGAGTTCAAAGTCAATGCACTTGTGCACACACACACACACACACACACACCGGATGTGAATGAGAAATCCGTTCGTCTGATGATGGTTTCGGTTACGTAAAACCAACATTTCTTTCTTTCCTATTTACACGTCTCTCTTTTTTTTTTTCTATTTTTTTAATAATTTCTCTTAGGAAGTTCATCGAACGTTTTCTCGATGGGGGGGGGGGAAGGAAGGATGGTATCAATGGATTCCTATCCATAAAGAATCGAAAAAAGCAAGAAGACGTCGTTCCAAGATAAATAAAAATGAAAATTTAATCGCGTGAGGTGTAAAGGAAGTGTGCAAACTCTAACTTCCGGTGCTTTCTTTTGAATGTGCGTCCAAGCTCCCAAAAAAAGTGATTAATAAAAAAAAAAAATTTTTTTCCCGCGGTTAGTGACGACACTCCTTTCCTGTATAAAACATTGCCCCCCTTCCCCATCCAAAAAAAAAAAAAATGGTTTCGTTCCGTTCGCGAATTCCCCAAATGTCTTCGTTTAAAAAGATCAAACCCATTTTGCACCGGAATTTCATGTGAGTACATTAGTCTTGGATTAATCGGGATGGTGCACTCGTCATGTTCTCCTCATCATCCCTCCCTCTTCCTGACCTCTTTGTAGTAGTAGCACCCTCTCGAAAACAATTCAACCAAACAACGAAAACGTTATTTATTTTTATTTTCAACACCGTGGTTACTTTTACGCAAAGAAAGTGATGACAGAAACAAAACAAACGAAAAAAAAAAAAAAAGAAAAAGACACGGAGGAGGAAGGAGTAACACCTGGACAAACCGGGATCAACATGTCACCAACGATATTTTAGTCACATTTTTTTTTATATTTACATAAAACACTAAAAAAAGAAGGAAGGAAGAAAAATTTATTGCGTCGTTTTAATTAAATGAAAAAGAAACGAAAACATTGAAACAGTGGGGGGAAGTGGCGGGGAGAAGGCGAGGGGGGAGGTGGAAGGGGGGGGGGAGAGAGAGGCAGCGTGACACGAAGAAGCCATTACACAACTTTTTAATTATTTAATTTTCGGTTGTTAAAATAAAATAAAAATAAATAAATAAATAAATGAAAAAACATTTACAATGCCGCGTGATCGCGCTGCCCTTTTTTAACGTTTGTTTTTGTTATTTGGAAAACGTGAGAGATAGATGTCACGCGTGACGACGCGTCACGCGTCAGAAGAATACAAAAAAAAAATGTTAAAATTAATTTTTTTTTTTTTGTTAAAGACTTACCTTTTCCGTATAGGATGGGAATGTGATCGGTAGCGAGTTTTGTTTTGGCTTTGATTCCTACTAAAAGCGGAGAACCTCGTCTCGTCGCGACGCATTCTCCGGGAAAGTGTTTGCTTTTGAATGCCAACGCAAAAGCACCTTCCTAAAAGAAGTAAAAAAAAATAATAATAATAAAAGAATCACCGATTTGTCACCATTTTGTTTTCTTTCTTTCTAATCGCATTACCAATTGTTGAATGACTTGTTCCACCAATTCCCGAAAGCTGAGTTTTTCATTTTGCATGTAAATGTGATGAACCAATTTCGCAATGACTTCCGTATCCGTTTCCGATTCAAATTTGTAACCTTTTTGCATGAGGAAAGTTTTGACGTCTTTGTAATTGGTGACGATGCCGTTGTGAACGACGACGAATTGATGATCGTCGTCCGATCTCTGAGGATGAGAATTGACGGAGGATGGTGCTCCGTGAGTGGCCCAACGCGTGTGAGCAATTCCGACGTGCACGCGATTTATTTCGTCGAAATCGAGATCGCTGGCTGTCGGAAAACAGGAAAAAAAAAAAAAAAAAAAAAACTTATAAATCGATGTTCGATGTGCTGACCACAGCAAAATCTCGGAAGAACGTGCTTGTGGTGGTGCCTCAACCGTTTTCTTTTATTTATTTCATACTCACCATTGATGGCGTTTTCCAAAGCCGCAACTTTTCCGCTTTGCTTTATTATCGTCACATCTTTACCGGATGATTTGTCGACTGCGACTCCCGCGGAATCGTATCCTCGATATTCTAACCTTTTCAATCCATTGACTAATATTTCGAGGATTTCGCGTCGAGATTTCGGAGTCAAGTAATTCAAATACGCGAATATACCTGAAAACAAAATTCGATTCTCATTATCATCATCGTTTGTCATTACTTTTTCTCTCTCTTTCTCATTCTCTCAAGAGAGAGAAAGAGAGAGAGAGAAAAACCTTGCAAACAACGAATTTTTGTTTGTGTTAACCTTGAAATTTGAAATGAGAAAAATTTGAATTGAAAATACCAACAGCTTATCGCAACAAAAGGTATTAAAAAAAGATTACAAAACAATATTTAATAAAGGCGTAATTAATGTTTCTTTTCTTTTTTTTTTTCCTTTCTTTTGTCTTCTCAATGTTTTTGATATTCGAGCCTTTTTCGCCTTGGAAAATTTTTTACCATCCATTTTTCACTTCGAAACGTAAATTCGATTTAAAAAAAAAAAAAATTCAATTTAAATAATAATAATAATTTCTTTTTTAGGTCGAACATTTTTTTCGTTGGCAACAAACTACCTTGAAATTTATTCAAACACTTTTACTACCCTAATTTCAACTATCACGTTTGTTTCTTTCTTTCTTTCTTTCTTTCTTTTTCTCTTTCTTTTCTTTTCTTACTGACATTCGTTCCACTTTGAAATTTAAATATTTTTCTTGTTAAATGAAGTTATAGTTCCTCGATGGTGTTTGATTGAATTTCGTAACGTTTACCATCTGAGTAGTAACTTGTAGGTTTCCTGACATTGGCACGAATTTAATTTTAAGGTAACCGCCAATCCATCTTTCTCTCCTAGTTTTCCTCCGTAATCCTTCTTTTTCTTCCTCTTCCTACAATTTCTTTAACCTTCGAAACACGCAAAAAATGCATTTCGAGGGGGGAGGGTTACGTGCTAATACCCCTTGATCAATCCAAGGAATCAATCCGTTCGAATCCTCCATCATTTTCATCTTAAGGAAAATTCATCATTTTCATTCGAAAGGAAAATTCAAACAATGTCTATTTAAAATTGAGTTTTCCATCCGTTGGTCAAGTCGTTCGACCTTCAAATTCTTTTCTTTTCTTTTCGAATAACAAATTTTCTCATTATCATCGAAAAAAAATCATTTTAATTTGTTCGAAACAAAGAGAGAGAGAGAAAAACCTCACAAAGAGAGGGAAAAAAATTTACGAAGAGGAAGACGGGAAGAAGAGAGAAGGGATAATAAGGTACGCGAGGGAAAGAGAGGGGGGTAAGGTAAGGAAGAGCGGTGAAGGGAGCGGTAATAATAAAAAAAATTTTTAAAGTTTGACAAATAGCCAGAGGCCTGCAAGCGGTGGATATACCAGTCTATACCTTAAACCTAGGCTCTAAAGCCTAATTTCTACCGTTACCCTCACGTCGATGTTACACATATACAGGTTTAACACGATGAGGTAACTTGATTTTCAAGGTCATTCGTTGACATTTCAAACCGAGAAAATGTGGTTATTCGAATGTGTTTTTCTCTCTCTCTCTCTTTTCTTTACCCCCCCAAGGAAATTAATAACAAAAAAAAAGAATTTTATTTTTATTTTTATTTTCCTTTTCCAACTAATTTCGCCGTCAAATACGACAATCGATAATCGATAATCGAATAAAAAAAATTTTCTAACCAATCTTTTCGCTTCTTCGAAAGGATTCATAGTACAAGATGGCTACCGTAATTCCCCCCCCCCGTATTCATTATCTTCGAGTTTTTCTATCGTTTTTCAACGTTCGTGGAAATTATCATTGTTATTATTATTATTATTATTAACACAACAACTACTTTTATTATTTAATCCATTTTTTTTCAACAACGTTTATTATTTATTTCCTGGCATCGAATTTGATTCCGTTATCGGTTGACCGAACGACAAAAATTCCAGTAAAAAAAAAAAAAGGAAAAAGAAAAAAGAAAGAAAGAAAAAAGTTTTTATATACAAACAATCTATTTTTATAATCATTTCCTTCTTATTAACATCGATTTAAAGAGTTTAAAAATAGAAAAATGAAAACCAATCGAAAGTGGGGAGACGAGGTTGGGGGGGGGGACGGAAAAAGAAACGGTTGGGAATAATTGGAAAAAAAAAAAAAAATTTATGAACGCATAAGAAAAACATTTCAGGTGCAAATATCGAATGATATATCGTGTGTGTGTGTGTGTGCAACAATAAATCGGCCAAGTACAAAATACTAAAATGATTACATAATAATAATAATAATAATAATAATAATAATAATTTTTGCAACATTTCTTTCAAAAGTTCTTTTTTAGTCGTTTTAAATGGTGGTAGAAAACGAAAATCAAAATGACTGATACGATGACGTGACATGGTGATGATGATGACCTCTTCTCAAGAGTTCAAAGAGAAACCGTCGAACGAATAACGGTAAATAATTTTTTTTTTTTTTTTTTATTAATTATTACTTCAAACCGAGGGATTGTAAATTTTTCAACATTTCGTCTACCTTGAAATTGGTATGTGCGTGAAGTTTTGAAATAAAAGAGTTTGGAGGTTGCCAGGAAATGTTGTCCGTTTGTCCGTTACCTAAATTATAGCTGACGGTATAAAAAGCTAAAGGTTTCGTACCTAACCTAATCGACATTTATTTATTTATTTATTTTTTTTAAAAATAATTTTGCAATGGGAATTTGCAAAAAAAAAAAAAAAAACAAACCGATTGTGAAATTTTTAAACTCGTTTGTTTTCCTTTAAAATGTCAACCTAAGAAATCCTTTTACCACAAAGACAGAGAGAGAGAGATAGTACAAACTACGCGTAATTTTTTTCCTGATGGATCAAGTAATAAAAAAAAATATCTAATCGGAGTATACTAATCCAAAGGATTAATTATCTATATGACTAAAACTCATAATCTTACTTAAATTTTTGCAAAATAATGTTTTTTAATATAGAAATTGAATAACAACAAAAAAAAAAAAAAAAAAAAAAAAAAAAGAAATAATTGCTAGCTTTTTTTTCTTTTCTCCCCCATTCTCTCTTATTCTTCCTACTCCTCTCCTATTTTAATGAATGAATAAATATTAAGGTTGAGAAACGCAAAAGAAAAGAAAAAAAAGATTTTAATACGACGTAATGAGGCACTCCCATTGCGAATATCATTTTTTAAATACACAATAAAAAAAATAAACTTTAGGTAGAATTTTACCTGTAAATATCTCGTCGTCTGATAGGCTGACTGGTATTTAAATTTTTTTTTTTTTTTTTTTTTTTCCCCTTGCTATTATTATTATTATTATTATTACAAGTTTTTTATAAAATTAAATAATTTTATTATTATCAACCCCACTAATACCTGAATTTTATATTTTTTATTAAATGATGTAAAAAAAAAAAAAAAAAAAAAAAAAAGTTGTCGTATTAGTAGTGTCACAAAAACAAGACAAGAAGAGTAATATTAATAATAATAAAATTTTTTTTTTTTTTTTCACATTCGACAAATGTTTTGAAAGAGATTTTGATTTTAAACAAAGATTCATCGAAATCAAAATATTAATTTTAAAAAAAAAAAGTTTTTCCTTTTGTTCTAACAGAGAATTTAAACTTTTTTTTTGTTCTATTCGATTACATCATGATCATCATCATCATCATCATTCGATTAGAGTAAAAATTTTATCATTAAAATAATTATTGTCGAATTTGCAATAAATTTTCAGTTATCGATATCTGAATTTTTGTTTTTTTTCCTCTTATTGTTCTTCTTGTTCCAATGAATAATATAATGGTAATTATTTTTTTTTTGTAATTAAAAGCAAATCAAAAGAATACACTATAAAAATATGTAAATTTATTCGTGTACTTGATGAAATTTTATATTTTGCATCGAAATAATTTGAATTCGAAAAAAAAATTAATTGCGACAAATAATTTAGTCAGTGATGCATAATAAAAAAAAGCACACACACATTCATAAAGGCTAATTAATATTTTGCAATAATTAAATTTCTCATTTTATTTTATTATCTCTTCTTCATGTTTAACCCGACCTGAATGAAAATCAATAATAATAGAAACTTGTTTAATGTTTTCTTATTTATTTTAAACTCGAAAGTAGGCTTAATCTTATATAACTAACATTTATTTATTTATTTATAAAACTCTTGCAAGATGTGCAGAATTGATGATCATGTTTTATAACAAAATATGAAAAAATTTTATTTTTTTATTTGTCGATTATGATCCAGACAGATCAAAAGAGATTTAAAACAAAAAATTCTGCACTTAATCCTTGTCATTTATAATAATAATACTAATATATATTAAAAATAATCGAGTAAATATTTAATTCCTTATTTAATTTACAAAAAAGTGTCATAAACAGAAAGTCATAAAAAGTTCCAATCTATTATCTGTCATTATCACATTTTCAAAATAAATAATAAAATTTTAAAATAAGATTATGTTTATAATATTATAAAATTATTACATCAAACACTATTAAAATCAAGCCTAAATTACAAAATTCCTTTTTTTTTTTTTTTGAATGGAATGAAAACAAACAAGTTATGAATAGAAAACAAAATTTCTTTTTTTTTTTTTTTTTTTGTTTGTGTCTAAGTTTTAGATAACTCATATCACTCTATGATTATTAAAAAAACTCTATTGGGTTAATAAAAAATTTTTTGTTTTGTAAAATTAAAGTAAATAAATAAAAAGGTATTTTAGTTAATTAAAAAATAAAAAAATTTCTTTCATCTCCCATCATTCAAAATGATTTGCCTTGTGGCAAAATGATATGTAGAAAAGTAAATTAATAATAAAAAAAAAAAGTAAACAAACGAAATGAAATATAAAAAATAATAAACTCACCACACATGATAAATTGTTTCCTCTTCACAAACACCTACTAAGTGAAAGCGGTTTTAGAATGAAATAAGTTATTCCTAACAGTTTCATACATTTTGATTATAACTATCAATTCCACTCATTCGATATCACAGAGTGGGGGGAACAGACAAGTACATATGAATTAACAGTAAGAACAAAAAACTGTAATGGCTGACAAATCCTTGCTTCTGATTGGTCGAAAACGTTCGACATTTTGAATTCGTAAAGTTGTCTGCCAAAGTTAAACCGTTACTTTTTTTTCGTGTAATAGAAATTTTAAAATCGTTTTTTTTTTTTAAAGAAAATAAAAATATCAAAACGATTTAATAATGTGAAAATAAATTACGTAAATACTTATTTTATTTAAACGTAAGTAAAAACAATTTGTGATGGCGGATAATAATAAAAAAAAAAACAAAATTCGATTGCATTTTATCATTAGTATTATGATGGCCGTTATTACTTTTCATTTAAACCGACGTACAAATTAAAACATTTTAATGTTAAATTCGGTTTTATTTCATTAAATATTTTATCTAGGGATATAATTTTTTTAGATTTTACCACCGTGGTAGGATTTTTTTTATTACGTAATAATTTTTTATAAGAATAATCGATGGAATATGGTACGTTACGATTAGTGGCATATGAAGCGTGGGTTTGAATATACACATCTGATCTGGTAAGTGTATCGTTAATTTTTTTAACGGTTTTTTTAACGTTTTGCGTTTTTTTTTTCTTCATAAGCCACGATTGAAAATTTTCTTCCCTTTCGTACATTTTAATCCTTTCTTCATTTTCCTTATTTAATTTATTTTGCTTCTTTTGTTCTTTTATTTTTTTAGATTTCCTGAAACACAAACCATACATTTAGTAATGGGATTGATATTGAAATAAAGATGGATGCACAGTATGGGAATAAGGAGGGGACACATATACAACACAAGGTACATCAAAACGGTTATTAATTATTATTATTATTATTATACTCAACTCTTTTCTTTCGATGAGTTGTTCAGCACTCAAACCATATTCTGATCTTAATCCATTGTAAACAGGTAGATCTGTTTTGATGACGTAACAATTTCTTTTTATCGGTGCCGTTTTTGGACGATTGTTTTTTTCTGTCGTTTTACAAATCATGCCACCAAATCGTCCAACAGAACTTTTTGGCCTTTTTTCACATTTTTTATATTCGAAAATATTATTTAAATATTTTTCATCGATTTTAACGATGTTTAATTTTTTTTTACCGCATTCATCATCATCCATTTTTTTTTTATCATTTTTTTTCTCAACCATAACATTATCATTTTTTAATTTATTATTATTATTATTATTATTAAAAAATTTTTTCTTTTTAGAATGTAAATTTTGCCAATTTGGCAAATAATTTTCATTTAAATTTTTACAATAATAATAATAATTTAAATCAGGTGAAATTTTCGATACGTTATATGAAATTTTTTTTTTTAATTTAAATGTATTTGCTGATTTTGGTCGTATTATTTTTGGCTTTGTTTGTTTTACTTGGTTGTTGTTGTTGTTGTTAAAACTTTCTTCTTCTTCTTCTTCTGTTATAATTTCACCAACGATTGATTCCGTGCTAGAATTTTGTTTTTGTGGTAATAATATTAAAAGTTTGTTGTTTGTTTTTTTATTTTTCTCCGACGTATATAAATCTAATAAATTATCATCATTAACATTTTCTATATTTAATATTTCTTCTTTTATTTCTTCTTCCACGTCATCATCATGGTCGCCATCATTTACATCTTCATCGACTACATCATTTTTCTTATCAGATTCGATGAAATTTTGAATTTCCAAATCGTTTTCAATGATTTTCTCATATACATCCTGTGACGAAACATCTTCGTCTTCACCTACATAATCATCTTCGGATATACCAATTAATTTGTCATCTTCTTCCAATGTTGAATAATTATCTTCTGTCGTTTCTATAAAATCAATATTCGAATCTGCAATTGAATTAATAATAATAATAATAATAAACGATCATTTGTTAGTAAAACGTATAAGTTTATTAAATTTGATGCGTACCTGGTTCGAAATTAACTAAATTATCGCTGAATTGTACTTTTCGAAAATGTTTTCTATCGTTTATTATTTCCTCATCGGATTCTTCGTAAAGTTTCTTATTTGCTTCAGCAATTTTTTCCGTTATGTTTATACTTCCGTTTCCGGCGGGTTCTAAAACTACACACGCACATACGCACGCAGAGTATTAAAAAATTACCATTAGATATGATTATCGATATATATATATATATATATATACGTAATATAATCGTAACTATTTTGGAAAAGGCGGAAGGGGGAGGGGAAGTAGAGGAGAGGAGGGAGAAGGAAAAACATGCAAAAGACATAAAATAAATAAACAAATCATTGTAAATAATAATATGAGAAAATTGTGGGGAGTTTTTTTCCTTTTTTTTTCGTTGACGCGCTCGGTTTTTTTTTTTTTTTATTTATTTACGATATGATTTATTTGTTGTTATATTTATTAATAATAATAATAATGATAATGATAATGATAATAAATAAAAGGAAAAATTTAATTTGAATGCGACCGTTAGTTAAAATAAATTATTTTTTAAAAATGAAAAAAGTTTTACAATAAATATTTACAAAAAAATAAAAAATTTTTTTTTGTTTCGTTTAGAAGAGAGAGAGAGAGAGAGAGAAAAGAGAGAGTGGGAAAAGTGAGAGAGAGGGGGGGAAAAGAGGGAGAGAGAGGTAAAAGAGAGAGAGAAAGAGAGACAGTGGGGGAAAAAACCAATAAGAAAGAAACTTATTACAATATGAATTTTTAGTTTTTTTTTTGTTGTTTGTTGTAATTATTAAAAAAAATTTTTTTTAAAAAAATTATTCGGTTTACAACAACAAATACAACAACAACAATAACAACAACAACAATAAATAATTTTATATTAAAGGAAAAAATTATCTCGACGTTTGTTGAAAATCAATTCAAAAGAAAAATTTAATAATTTAATTAATTTTTTTTTTTAAAGTTCAGATACAAAAAAAAAATCTGAATGTTTAACGTGTCGCATTCAATACAATAATAATAATAATAATATACTTACAATACCCTTCACAATCATCATCATCATCATCATCCTCATCTTCATCATCTTTGTCGTAATTATCATCATCGATATCATAATTATTAATCGATTCTTTTTCATTCTTACAATTTTCTCCTTTATCATTATCATCATCATCATCATCATCATTATTATTATTATTTAAATCATTTTCTTCCATATTTAATACTTAAAATAATGTGGCAAACACTTCCTCTTCGTCGTCGTACTCTTAGCAAAAAAAATTTATTTATTTTTTGTATTTGTACGCGAGAGTTACTCCGGTAACAGAATTTCTATTTATTTATTTATTTTCTTTACCCTCCCGTTGTCATAAAAAAAAACGAACGAACGAACAAATTTATTTTATGTCTCTCGCATGTTTTTATACAATTTACTATTATTATTATTATCATCACATAAAAAAAAAAATTTACGCGCGTACTCATTTTAACGCGCGCGTATTCACCATCTTTCATATTACTCTCATACGTGTTTATTTTAATAAAATGATTACGATCGTGATAATAATGATATTTTTTTTTTTTTTTAAATATTATTATCATTATCACGAGACGTAATCATTAATTATAAAAAAAAAAAAAATCGACATTTTTATTTATTTATTATTTATTTATTAATTAATTTTTATATTTATTTATTTATTTATTTTTATTTTACATTATTAATATTTTACACGAGTTATTGTATTCAATTGACCCAACGTTTTCGCGTCAGTTAATTAATTAATTACAATTTATAAAAATGAAAAAATGAAAACTCTATGTTGTAATAATAATAATAATAGTAATAATATATAATATGATGATGGCGGTATTGGTGGTGGCGACGGAACGAACGACTGGAACGGGCTCATATAAACGAGAAGGATAATATTATTTTAATAATAATAATAATAATAATAATAGTAGTAGTAGTAACGACAAAAAAATAAAAATAAAAATACACGTCATAAAAAAATGTTAATGATAATAATAATAATAAAAATACTAGTCGGGGGGGGGGGGGGGAAAGACAATTAAAGAAAAAATCAATTTTTTCGTTTTGTTTTTAAAACTGTACAAAATAATCACAATATAAATTACAATAATAACAACAATAACAATAACAACAACAACAACCACAAAAACAAACAAACAAAAAAAAAATTTCTTTTTGAGTTTGTTTTTGTGATGTGTGTGTGTGTGTGTGCGTGTGCGCGTATGAATCACGTGAGACTAGTTTTTCTTTTTTTTTTTTTTTTAAAATTAAATCGTTTAAAAAATTATATATAAAACGGGGGGGGGGCGGGGGGAGGACAAAAAAAATTTTTTTCGCGGTTAAATGCCTCGGAAAAATAAAAGAAAAATAATTTTCGTCGTTTTCCGCTATAAAACGCCTCGTTTAATTTTTTTTTTTTTTTTTTTTCATTTGTGACTTTGGAAGGAAATGAAAGGTCATGTCGCGAACATGTTTAATGTTATAATTAAAAAAAAAAAAAAAACCGCACCGTTCCGTTCTCTTTTAATTTATTCTTTCCAGTCGTCTGGAATTTTTAAAATTTATCATCATTATCATCATCATCATCGTCATCATTATTATTATCACTATTATTATTTTTAGTTAATCGTTGTCGTTGTTATTATTAATGAAAAATTAACATCGTTTATTATTATTATAATTATTTTTATTGTTTAACGTCCGTCACGCAGAAAATAATAATTATTTGTGACGTCAGTAATACCAACGTAAAAAAATAAAAAAATTTCGGTTGCGAAAAATACAAAAAAAAAAAAAACAAAACGGAAATGACGTCATTTAAAACTCTGATAATAATATTAACCGAAACGAGAGGAGGATCCTCACGTTTTTTTCTGTTGTATTAAAAGAGATCTCGCGGTCGTAAAGGAGGACGTTTTGAAATTTTTAGGACTTCCCATTTCTTGATTTGATTTCGAGTCCGATCTATCGTTCGATCTCGAACTTTCGACCGATCGACATTTAGAATTTTTAACGAACGGATTCAAAGATTCGTTTTTGTTACCGCTTCCGCCGCTGCCGCTGCCGCCGCCGCCGGCGTCTGATAAAACGGAAATCGATGGTGAAAAAATTTTCCCTCTATCCATTTTTTTGGGTGAAGAAGATTCGAGTCTCGAACATTTCGGACTCGAATTTCCCACGTGACCGAGTTTTTTATCTTTGAAATTCGCGCTCGACATGCTGCTGGAACTCACGCCGGAATCGCTTGATTTTTCGCTGAAACCAACGTTTCCGCTTTCGCAATTCATACCTAAATCGTTGTAACCGCCCACGACGTATTTGACCATCGTCAATTTGGCGTTTGTTTCGCACGTTTCTTCTCCCGTTCTACCCTTTGACGTTTCGCTTCCGTCCGCCGCCGCCGCCGTCGTCATCATCGTCGTCGTACTCGTGCCCGTCCTCTCGAGTATTTCCCTCGAATGATTGGCTATTTCTCTCGTTCTATCGAGAACTTCTCGAGTTTGTTCTAGAAAATCTTTCGCCGAACTTTTCTTACTCTCTCCCACTGGAATGTTTGGCTGATAATTGACTTTTGAATGATTTATGAAAACGTTCATTTCGACGTTTTCCGAACAATCGTCGTCGTCTCCACCGCCGCCGCCGCATCCGTCATCGTTCGTCGTTCCCCCCATTCTACCCATCATTCCTAAATTTCCAAAATGTTTACGCGCGGATGATGAATTACCTTTTCTTCCGTCTGACGAAAAAAAAATATTTTTACCGACGGAATCGAGATTGTTCGATGATTCCTGGGAAATTTTCGATGGATTTCCTTTGGTTTTCGGCTGATGACTATTTAGGTGATGATCCTCTTCGAAACAACCCGAATCTCTCAGACTTTTCTGCGACGAAGGACCTTGTTTCGACTGTTGCTTCGTACGACCGCTCGGAGATCCCACATCGTCGTCGTCTCCGCTACTGCTATCTCTCTCTCCGCCGCTACTACTACTAATTGAACCTTCTTTATCATCGTTTGCTTCAAAGAAGAAAAACAAACAAATCAATTAAAACGTTCGTAGATTCCCATCGACAACAACAACAACAACAAACAATTGCTCAACTTACAATCGTAATCGTGTAACAATTGTACGGCGGTCAATATTTTGGCACGATGTTCCGGATCGCGTATGTTTAAATAATCCAAATCTTGACTTTCTAAATCTTGAAAAAGTTCTACGTCTTCGTAACCGTTCAAAACAAACACGGAAGTGTGTTCCTAAATAAAAAGAAAAAAACCGTTAGAACAACAACAACAAAAACAACAAAAGGAAAATTTAAAATGGAAAAATTAAAAAATTTATTATTAAAAAAAAAAACCGGAAACGGAAAATGCCCAAATTCTAAAACTTACCTCCATGCTTATTCTCTTTAATAATTCTTCAACGGATTTAGGTTTTCCTCTCCTGTGATTATTATTATTATTATTAATATTATGACTACGATGATGATGATGGTGGTGATGATGATGATGATGATGATGATTTTTCGAATGTTTCAATCTCTTAAGGGTTTTATCACTTAATAATTCTACGTTAATGAATTTAAATAACCCTGCTTTCCCGTGGGCGATTCCCTGCCATAATCCGCTCGGATTCATTTGTAGTACGTCGATAATATCGCCTTTCTGAAAACAACAACAACAACAACCACAACATAATTTGACGATGTTTATGTTTTTATGTTTTTTTATGTTTCTTCCCTCCCCTTAACATACCTTAAACCTTAAAGCTTCCCTGTCGTAGTGACTAGGAGAACAATCGACCAAAGCTCTCGCTTTTGCTATGACCGGTCCGACGGCTATGTTACCACCCTGCGGAGCAGGACCGATCGGACTCGAATTGTCACGATCGTCACCTGCCGACAGCGAACTGTGACCGCTTGTTTCACGCATGAGAGCCTGTTGAAAAAAAAAAAATTCAATTTGAACAAAAAATTAATTTAATTTTTTTTTTTGGCGGGGGGGGGGCTGTGGAATGGAAGGGTGTGAGAGAAAATTACCTGAGTGCTGGAACCGGATCCGCTTGGTAAACTTTCTCCAGACGATGCAGAATGTAAATTTCCTTTCAATCTTGAAAACCCCTTGTCTTGTGATTTCTTATACCTTGGCTCGCTGTTGGAACCTCCTCCTGAAATCGACCTATCTGAAAAATCGTTCAAAAAAATTTTTTTTATTGTTTCAGAAAAAAAAACGAGCACGACGTGGAACGAGAATTTTTTTTTTTAAAAAGAAATATTTACCACCGGGCGGAAGTGACATATCGTGATCTTCGTAATCGGAACTTTGATCGCTGCAAGGTTTTCCTCTCACCGACGACGACGACGACAAACGATAAAAATAATCTTGCTGTTCGGATCTCGTCGTGTCTATGCTAAAAGTCGATAATCTGGAACTGAGACTCTGAACGTCCGTACCTAAAAATTCTAATCGAAAATTAGTTCGATTTTCAAAATCGAAACTTCCAATCGGAAAAACAAATTTTTCTCTCTCTCTCACCCGCATAATCTCCGCTTTCTCTGCTCGAACGCGCGTGTGTCAATGGAATTATAGTCGGAGGATAAGGCCCGTATTGTGGAAGTATGAGACCTCTTCGAGGAGTCGAACCGTTATCACGTGGTATCGATATGTCACCCGCCGACGGATGAGATATTATTCCTTCTCTCTGCCGATCCGATCTCGGATTGAGAGTGTAACAAATTCTGCGGATAGAAAAACAAAATGAGTCGTCCGTTACCGAACAGGAACAACAACAACCCTGTCAAATTCGACGAACCTTCCGTTTTGAAGAGTCGCCGTGGCAGAAGGATTAGCCGTAGTAGTAGTGGCGGTAGTAGTTTGCTGACAATTTCCAAGTCCCATGAGAAAATCTTCCGGATCGCTTTCGTAGGGTGGTTCGTCGTACCAATGATGAGGAGCCAAAGCTCTGACGTCGTCGTCGTACATGTACGTGTCGTCTAAAAAGAACGAAACCATCATTTGATTCGCGTGAGAGAAAACAATCAAATAAAATTAAGAATAAATTTTTTAAAGAAAATTCACTCACCGGAACTTCTCCGAAGTTGATTAAGGCCTTCACGAATGTCTTTTAAAATCTGGAGAAGGAACAAAAAAAATAAATACTGATAATGATAATAATAATAAAACGTTCAAACGCAAATTAAAAAAAAAAAAAAAATAACCGGAAACAAGAATGAAAAAAAGGGAGACCGTCGAAATTATCCGGAACCTCTCGACAAAATCATCCTGGAAAACCCTTTAAAGGATGAAAAAAGGAACGGAAAAGGACAGAAAAGGTTAGTAAAAAGTCATTTTAATGGAATCCATTTTCTGAAACGTTTTAATAACTTGTCGATTGTGGCGTGAATAACGAAAAACTCCCCCAAAAAAAAAAAAAAATTTTTTTTTCCCACTGGAATATTTCGGGTTCCAGGTTGAATGTGTACACGCGGGGGGGGGGGAGCGCGCGCGGGGGAATGCAGACGATATAGAAGATCCTCCGGGATAGGAAAAAAAGAAAAAAAAAACATAAAAGTCTATAAAGTATTAATAGAGTATGTTTCGAGAAAAAAAAAAAAAAGTTTCGGAACGTAATTTATACTCTCTTCTTCTTTTCTTCTTCTTCTTCTTCTTCTTCTTCCTCCTCTCTCTCTTTTTTTTTTTGAGAGAGAGAGAGAGATAGAGAGAGAAAGAGAGGAAAAAACGCTTTTCGTAAAATGTTAAAAAAAAAAAAAAAAAGAAAAAGTTTTCGAATGAACCAAAGCAAAAATTTTCCGATTCGATGGTTGCCTCATTGGCATTTTTTCACTGTCGCCTTTTTTTTCTTCCTCTTCCAGGAAGGAGAAAAAGGGAGGAAGGTGTAAGGGATGGAAAGAGAGAGAGAGAGAGAGACTACATCTTACGTCATTCTTTTTACACGACTACTTTTTTCTTCTTCCTCCTCCTTCACGTTATCTTTCTTCCTCTCTCTCTCTCTCTCTCCCTCTCTCATTCCTTCATTTTTAAACCGTGTTTTTCGTCTCGAGACAAATGACAAATTTAATTTAAAATCACGCGCACGTTCAAATTTCAAAGTGGAAGAAGAAGAAAAGGAAAAAGACTTTAAATAAAAAGGAAGGGGAACCAGACTCGGCGTTGTTCGTCGTTAAGTTTTTCTTTTTTTTTCTTTTTTTTTTTTTTTTACCGCGCGTTCGTTTTTTAAATTTTTTTTGTATGCGCGTTTTTTTTCTTTTTCCACGAATCTTCTGCCACGTTCGTAATCACGATCATTTTCTTTCCTTTAAAAAAAAAAAAAAATCACGAAGTCGTATTCTCATCGGCACGTTTTCCTCTCTCCCTCTCTTCCTCCTTTCTTTCCTTCCTTTCTTCATCCGTATCCGTACTTTAACCATTTCCGGTTTTAATTTAAAATCTTCATTTTAAAATTTTTTTCCGTATCACCCATTCGTTATCACAAAATTCATTATAATGACAAAAAACAGAAAAGAAAATTTCCCTTATTAATTTTTTAATTTTTTCCAACATTTTCCACGAAAAAATTTTCTTCTTATTTTAATGAAAAAAAAAAAAAAAAACTCGAAAAATTAAATAATAATAATAATTATCAACAGGTACAAAAGAGAAAGAAAAAAAAGAGAAAGAGAGAGAAAGAGGAAAACAATTAACTTGTAAAAAGGTTTTTTTTTTTCTTTTCTTTTCCTACTAGAAAATTTTTTTTCTTTTTTTTCTTTCTCTCTCTCAAAGTTTTAATCTAATTTTCTTTTAATTGTAATTCTTACTCGTGAGTTTTTCAGATAAAACCTTTTTTTCCTTTTTTTTTTTCCATTTATTTTTTCCTTTCCTTTCCTTTCCTTTTTTTTTTTGTCGCAAGAAAAAAAAAAAAAAAAAAAAGGAAACGCATAAAAAAAAAAGAAAAGGAAAAAAAAAAGTTTTTCACGTCTCATTAAAAATCTTTTAATTAACATTAATTGTTTTTCATTTGACGGCTATGACGTCATTTTTCTTTCTTTTTTTTTCTTTTTCGGAAAATGCTAAAAAAAAATTTTCCGGGACAAACATTTTTAAAAAAAAAAAAAAAAAAAAAACGTGTCATAAGGAAAACGAATTCACGCCCGATATTTTTTTAAAATTATGACGACTAAAATCATCATTCATTCATTCATTTCCGGTTTCGAATTTTTTTCTTTTCTTTCTACTCGGAAAAATCTTTTCAACCGCTTCGTCATCGTCGCCCTCGTTGAAAAAAAAAAAAAAAGAAAAGTAATTTTCGAACGTTATGGCCGACGACCACTTTAAAGTTTTTTCGAAATAGTTTCCGGTAAAAAAGTTTTAAACCATGAAAAATTTATTTTATCTTCCTTCGTAATAACGAACGGACGAACGGGAGAACGAGAGAACGAACGGACGAACGGATAACAAGAAAAAAAGAAGAATAATTATAAATTCGATATGGCGTCGGCGGCGGCGGAAACGAATTCGACCGTAAACCATACATTTTCGGCTCCTATTTTTTCTTTTTTCTTTTCTCTCTTTCTCTCTCTACCCCCCTTCCCCCACGTTTTCCCCCCCCCCTCCCGTCTCGAGACACGTAACCGAATCATTTAAAAAAAAAAAGAAAACCCTACGATTATCCTTCCTTTTTTCCTTTTTTCCTTTGGCATTTAAATTTGTCGAAACTCATTTTACGCGTATGAAATTTTTTCTTTTTTTTTTTTTTTTGCGGATATCGATGAATAATTTTCTTTATATAAAAAAAAAAAAAAAAAAAAAATGGAAGGAAAATGGGGGGGGGGCGGAAAAAAAAAATTCCCTATCCTTTCTTTCTTTCTTTCCTTCCTTCCTTATTCCAGACGTATACGAAAAAGAAAAAGGAAAAAGAAAAAGGAAACGATTCCCCGGGTGGTAGTTTTCAAAAATTGCATCGAAAGGAAGTCGTAAAACTATAAAAATCGACTCTTCTTTTTTCGAAAGTCCGACAAAAAAAAAAAAAAAATGAAATGAAAACTGACGGGAAAAATTTTCTTTTTCTCTCTCTCTCTTTCTCTTTTTCTTTCTTTCAGCAAAGAAAAAAGGAAAAGCTTTTCCGATTTCGTCTTAATCTTATCAGGTTTTTTTTTTCCTTTTTTTTTTTCGGTTTCTTTTCTAAAAACACGACACTCGCACACGAACGAAGAACACATAATATCGGACGTTTGAAAATTGATGATTGTTAAGGAAAAAAAAATAAAAAAATAAGGCGGTCGTAGGGAGGGTGGGTGGAGATAGATGTGGGAGGTGTGAGGAGGGGGAAGAAAGAAAGGGAGGAGCATGAAAAAAAAATGGAAGAAAACCCACACACGAGGAAATGGAAAATGAAAACTTTTTTTTTTTTTTTTTTTTCCAACGTTCGGTTCATCGAACGCACAAAAAAAAAGGAAGGAAAGAACGTAACAAGAAAAGAGGTTCGGTAATTTAATAATAAAACTTTTTAAAGGAAAAAGAAAGGAAGAGAGAGAGAGAGAGAGAGAGAGAGAGAGAGGAAAAGGAAGAGGGAATAAGATAAAGAAAACGGACAATGAAGTGAAAATGAAAGGAAGGAAAAACTTAATGGGCAATCATTATCATCATCATCGTTTATTGATGGTACGTACGTGCCCGTCTTATTTTTTTTTTTTTTTCTCGACGCAGCAAAAGAGCAAAGGAGAGGAAGGCGAAAAGAGAAAGAGAGAGAGAGAGAGAGAGAGAGAGAAAAAAGAAATATATAACGACAAAGGAAAACGAGAAAGAGAGAGGGAAAAGAGGGGATGAAAAAGAAAAGAAATTAAGAAGAGAAAAAAGGGCGGTCAACGATATAATTTTTTTCTTTTCCTTCCGCTAAATTTAACACGAACCCAAAATAATCAGCAAAAAAAAAAAAAGAAAAAAAAACGCCAAAGAAATCTCCAGGAAGCTTTCCAGGTTCTCTCCCCTCTCCCTCTCCCTTTGTCTTCCCTATCCGTGCAAAAAGGATTCAAATACAAAAATATGGCAAAACGTCGTCGTGTGCCTTAAACCCGTTTTTAAACATATCAGGAACGAAGGAAACGAGAGCGAAAATTAAAAATAACCTTAATTTAACAAACGAAAACAAAACCTCCGCCGCCATACCCCCCTCTTCAACCCTCCCAAATCCTACCCCCTCCTCAATCCTTCTCGAAAAAAAAAAAAAAGGCGCTGGAAAAGATAAAATAAGTCAAACGAAAAAAGAGAAAGAGAGCAAGAGAGAGAGAGAGAGAAATGTAAAATGAAAGAGCGAAAAAGGTTGAGTAATAAATCCTTTTCAAACGAAAGGCTCTCGCAATAAATCCGTTTCGTGGCAGGAGAAAGTTGTATAAAAAAGGAAAGAACGAACGAACGAACGAACGAACGCACGCACGCGTACGCCCGCAAGCGAAAAACGCGTGTTTTATATATAAAAAAAAAAAATCTCGAATTCTTACCTCTTCGTGTTCTCTATGAAATCTTTCCTTTTTTTTCAAAGCGTCTTGAATTTTTAACTGAAAAAAAAAAAAGAAAATCATGATGATAATGATAATAATAATAATAAACAACAGAAAACTTGTAACGCGTACAAAAGTAATTAATAATAATAATAATAATAATAATGATAATGACAATACTCGAGAAAAGGAAAAAGAAAGATAATTTGTTAAAAAAAGAAAAGGACGGACGGTGTCAGACGACGAGGACCATTTGAAAAACATTTATTTAAATTTGCGGTCGGAGAAAACTAGGAAGACAAGCAGACGATTTATATTCGCAATTAGTAAGAAAAGAAAAATAGAAAATAAACGGCGGAGGTTTAATTAATGAAGGGAGAGAGAGAGAGAGAGAGAGAGAGAGAGAGAGAGAGAGAGAGAGAGAGAGAGAGAGAGAGAGAGAGAGGGAGGAAAAGGAGAATCGGGGAATGAAAGAAAAAAAGAAAATTTTTTATTTTCATGGAAAATTCACAAAAATCAAACATCACGATGATGACGATGATGATGATGATGAGAGCAAATATATATATAGATACCTAATCGACTGTAAGAAATATTTGTGGGGGACCGGTAGGGTCGTGAAACTGAGCAACGAAACAATAATCCGATTATTATTATTATTACTACGTTTTGTATTCCATCATTTATTTCCGACCCCAACTTCAATAATTTTGAATTATTATTATTATTATTTCGTTAAAAAAAAAAAAATTGAAAAATTCTTCCAGAAAAATAAATAATAATAAAAAAAAATAAATGGGGAGAGAAAAAGAGAGAAGAAATGGAAAGAGGAAGAGAGACAAAAAAAGATACATTAAGGGAAAGAGAAAAAGGAAAAAGATGGAGAGATGAGAAAACAGAGAGAAAAAGAAAAAGAGAAAAATTAAAGAAATGGAGAGATGAGGAGAGAAAGAGAGAGAAAGAGAAAAAGAAAAAAATGGAGAAATGACAAGAGAGAGAGAAAGAAGAGCCGGGGAAAAAAAGAGAAGAGAAAGAAGAGATGAGAGAGGAAGAGACATAAAGAGAGAGAGAATAAGGGATAGACCAAGAAAGAAAAGAGAGAAGAAATGGTGAGAAAAAGAGGGAAAGAAGAGGGAAAAAGAGAAAGAAAGTCAAAAAGAGAAGGAGAAAGAGAAAAAATTATAGAAATGAATAAATATATAGAAAGGTAGCGTGAGAGAGAAAGAGAGGAAAAGAAAGAGCAAGAGAGAGAAAGAGAAAACGCTTTTCTTATAATACTCACCCTATGAATGGTTTCTTCGAAATTCGATGCGGAACCGTTCAATTGTAGAATTCTAAGTTGATCGTAATTTAATTTTCTAGAACCCGATTGCGGGGGAGGCATTGGTAACATTTGAGTAGTACTTCTATCTACGTTTGAATTTTCCACATTCGGTACCTGCACCTGTAAATAAATAATAATAACAATATTAATAATAATGATAATAAAACTGGATAAATTAAAAACTCTCCCGGAAGGAACGCGGAAATGCGAGAAAAAGGGATCTATATCTTTCTCTATCTCTCTCTCTCTCTCTCTTTCCCATAACCCTCATCATTGATGCATAAGATTTATTATCAGTATAAAATTTACCCGGGGCTTTTTTCCTTTTTTTTCCCCTTCCCCTACCCCTCCCTTTTTTTTCTCCTTCCACGTTTTCATTTTCATTTTCATCTTTTTCTTTTTCTCCTCCTTCTTCTTTTTTTTTTTACTACTAATTACATTTTATTAAAAGTTAAAGGTGAATTATTATTTATGAGAGTGATTTACCCTTAAGCCTACAACAAACTCTCATTTCGTTCTTTCCTCTTCTTCTTCTTCTTCTTCTTCCTTTTCCTTCCTTCCTTTCTCCCGGTTCCGATTCTTATTAGCCTTTTACCTCTACTTCCGCGACCTCTTAGAGAAAACCAACCTCGATCGCATTTCTTTTTTCGAATCTCCCCCCACCCAAAAAAAAAAAAATTTATTTATCGGTCAGAAATCTCTCTTTTCTCTCTCTCTCTCTCTCTCTCTCTCTTTTTCTCTCTCTTACCATTCGTTTTTCCTTTTTCCGATTTGATATCACAAAACCATAAAACTGGTTCCGGTAATAAAAAAAAAAAAAAAAATCAGACTTACTTCCTTATCCGGTTAGTAAAAAATACAACAACAACAACAACAATCAACTAACCAACCCTTTTTTTTTTCCTAACCGCTAGCTAATTCATCCCTTATTTACAACCACCCTCCCCCCTCGAAACCCTTTTGTCATTTCGGCCATTTGTTTTATGTATTCGTTCTTAAAATAATAATGATAATGATGATAAAATAAAACACCGCGAATTTATTTATTTAATTTTTTTCCCCATCATTCTTCTTCTTCTTCTTCATCTTTTTCTTTTCGAAACGAAGAAGAAGATTTAATGAGAGAGAAACAGAGAGAGAGAGAGAGAGAGAGAGAGAGAGAGAGAGAAATATTAAATGAATGAATGGACAATATTTGGACGAAAACGCTCAAAGAAAAACTCGAAAACGTTTTTAACATTTAATATTCCACCTCCCTCCTCTCCTCCCCCTTAAAAAAAATAAACTACTCAATTCTCACCAAGTTTTCTTAAAGATAACAATAACAACAACAACAACTACCGACGACAACCAAAAACGATAACAAACGGAAAAAAAAAAAATTTTTCGAATAAATTAATTTTTTTTTTTTTTTTTTTCCCATCATCGTCGTTCTCGTAAAAAAATAAAAAAAAAAAAAAAAGAAAGAAAAAATAAAAAATAAAAAATAACGAGACAGACAGATACAAGATATAAACAAAAGCAAAAAAAACAAACAACAAACAAACAAAAAGGAATAAAAAAATAAAAAAAAATAAAAATAAAAAGTTTTGAAATAAAACGATAAAATGAAAAAAAAAAAAAAAAAAATTGTAAAAACTTAAAAAGGAGGAAAAAAAAAAAATGAATGAATGAATTAACTTAATAAAATGTGACGTGGAAAATCGGCCGTGATATAAAAAAAATAAAAAGAGATAAAGAGATTCAGAGGAAGAGAGAGAGAGAATGAGAGAGAAAGAGGATGAGAGGACGAGATGTGAGTTTACGCGTGTGCAAAAAAAGATACGAAAGCGAAAATGGTGAAAAAGAGAGAGAGAGAGAGAAAGGGAAAAGTAAGGGAAAGCAGAAGCGGAAACGGAAACGGAAAATAAACAAAAACGCGCGTTTTCTCATGCGCACCTCGACAACGACAAACAACAAACGACAAACGACAAACACGAAAGAAAATTTAGAGAAACAGAGAGACAGGGAAAAAAATTACGATTTTTCCTTTTTCATTTAATACCTCTCTTTCTCTTTCTTTCTCTCTCTCTCTCTCTCAAACGTGATACTCCTAGCAAAAGAGGAAAAAAGGAAAAACAAAGGAAAGACAAAGGAAAAATGTTTTTTTTTTTTAATTCCGTATTCGTACGAAGAGATCGGAACGAGTTGTCACGTGTTGTTACGAAAGTCTGGTTACACGGTTAAACACTATTTAAACCTTTGATTTCGAATTCAAAGGATGTCAAATTTTTTTTTTTTCAAAGGTAACACGTGTGGTGGTTCACCTGGAACGTCACGCGCGCTCGAATGTTTCCTTTTTTTTCCTTTTTTTTCGACTGAAAAATTGCGTCATTTATTCCCGAATTAAAAAAAAAAAAAAAAATGCGACGGACGACGACGACGATGAGAAAACTTAAAAGGAATTAAAAAAAAGGAAAGAAAATTAGAAAGAAAAAAAAATTTCCCTCACTCTCTCTCTCTCTCTCTCTCTCACTCTTATTAACTCTCTCACTCTTATGATTGCAAAGTAGAAATTATTTAAAATTCGTTATCGTCTGCTACTAAACATTCTCATCCCCAACACACCGGATTATTTATCATTTTCATCTCTTCCTTCCTCTCTTCCGCTTCCGCTTCCCTTTCATTCTCAGTTTTCTTTTCTTCCACCATCGAAATCGACTTTTCCGAATTCCTTTGACAAATTTTTCCTTTCTCTCTCTCTCTCTCACTCTCAAGTCGTTTTTTTTTTTTTTAAAAAAAATTAAAAGTTTTTGAAAAATTGAAATTTGCTCGTGATTTATTTCCAACGTCATTATCCCGAAAGTGAAAATTCTTTTCCAACGATGAGAATGAAAAAAAAAAAAAAAAAAAAAACGATTCCAAAGTAGAAAATGAAATTTTTCAAAAAAAATAAAAAGTGGAGAGAAAGAGAAAGAGGAAGAGGGAAGAAGGAGGAGGAAGAGGAAAAAAGTTTAATTTCAATTGCAAATTTAAAAAAAAAAAAAAAAAAAAAAAAAAAAAAATTATTGCCAACCTCAAAAAAAAAAATCTGAATTAAATTAAATAATGAAATGAAATTTAATTTATAACCGAAAAAAAAAAAAAAACAAACTTCAAAGTTATTTAATATTTTGCCGTTTCGATATTTTGTCGTGTCAGAAGATTAAATAATAATAAAAAAAAAAAAAAAAAAAAAAAAAAACATAAAATTAAATAAAAAAAAGAAAAATAAAAGTTTTCGAAAGAATTTCTTTTCTTTTCTTTTAATTCTCGAAAATTCTTTAAATTTAAAAATAAAATAAAAAATTTCATTTTCACGGGTTGTAAAAAAAAAGAGAGAAAGAGAGAGAAAAGGTAAAGAGACAGAGAGAGAGAGAGAGTAAAGAGAGAAAAAGGAGAAAGAGAGACAGAGAGAGAATAAAAAGAGTACAGAGAGTAAGAAGAGAGAGAAAGAAATTAAAGAGAAAGAGGAAGAAAGAAAGAGTAGAAAGACAGAAAAAGACAGTAAAAAGAGACAGAATAAAGAGAGTAAAGAGAGAGAGAAAGAAAAACAGTAGAAAGAGAACAAAAAAGTAAAAAGAAGAGAAAGAGAGTAAAGAGAGAGAAAACAAAAAAGTAAAAAAGAGAGAGAAAGAGGACAAAAAAGTAAAAAAAAAAGAAAGAGAACAAAAAAGCAAAAAAGAGAGAGACAAAAAGAGTAGAAAGACAACAGAAAAGTAAAAAAAGAGAGAAAGAGAAAAGAGAGAGAAAAATTTAAAACAAATTTAAAATATTTCGCGAGCCCCATTGCTTAATCTTTTTCCTTTTTTCAGCAAATTGCAAAAGGAAAAAAAGGAAAAAATAAAAAGGAAAGAAAATAATTTATTTTTCCTCCGTGAATTGTCCGTTGACCGATCGAAACAAAAAAAAAATTATCCAGGAATTAAATTAAAAAAAAAAAAGAGGAAGAAACCAAAATCCTGGATTTTTTTTTTTTATAATTAAAAAAAAAAAAACGAAAAACAATCGTATCGGACTCGAATTTTCCTTTTGTGATATTAAAAATCAAAACTTAATTGAATTTTTTTTTTTTTAAATTTCCCGCCAAAAATATATATTATTATTATTATTATTATTATTATTATTATTATTATTATTATTAACTAACCGAGAGAAAACGGACAAAAAAAAAAAAAGCAAACATAATTTAACCGAAAAGAAGCGGGAGTTGGGGGAGGGAAGGAAAAATAAAAAGAAAAATTTACCTTCTTTTTCCCCTCCCCTCTCCCCCTCCTTTTCTCTCCCTCTCCTCCGAGTAAATTCGAAAAACACAAAAAACGTTTAGTTCAGGTGTAACAACTTAAATTTCCCATTGCCCCCATAAATTTAATATGTTTTCTCCCTTTCTCTCTTTCTTTTCTTAAACCTTTTTCGGAGTCGAAAAAATATTATTATTATTATTTTTTAAATCAAAAAATTTCGAAGGGAAGAGGGAGAGGGGGTAGAAACGACGCATTCACGAGCACGCGTACACGCTCTCATATTTAAAATGAAGAAAAAGTACGAATGGTGAATACTTTCAAGGTTTTCTTCGACGAAACCTATGACGTCATTATAAGAAAAAAAGATGGCCGAACGAGAAAAAAAAATTTTAGTAGCGATAATGATGATGATGGTGATAATTCCCGTTAGAAACATTAAAATTCCAACGGATCGAACTTTTTTCTTTTTTTAACAAACTAAAACCGTTTTTAATTTACCTCGATTCGGATAATTGCTTTATTGCAACATTTTTTTCTTTTTCTTTTCCTTTTTTCTTTTTTTTTTTTTCTTTCTTTCCTTTTCCCCTTCCTTCGTTTCACATCCTTCCCCTTCAATCTCCTCTTCACCACCACCTCCGCCTTCATCATCCACCATTTTTTTTTCTTTACTTTTTTTTTCATTTTTTTTTCTTCTTTAGATTTTTTTCTTCTATCTCTCTCTCTCTCTCTCTCTCTCTCTCTCTCTCTTTCCCGCTTTCGATTGAGTTTTAAC